TTTTGAATTAATGAATACTATTTTAACAAATTAAATGCAAAGAACATTTTTAATGTTTTTTTATTTGGAAATTGCTAAACAATAAAATGGTTTAAATTAATTAAAAGTACTAATTAAATCTTACATAAAACAACGTCACTTACTACATACAAAAAAGTTTGTGTTGAAACAAAGAAAATACTAGATATAAATTTGAATTAACACGATTATTGAGTTGGTTATTTCAAGATTTGTTATGGATAAATTTATAGTTTCAAGTTGCACTATTTTAAACAACAATGTGCAAACCACTTTATAATCAAAAATTATCATTTTTTAATCCTTATATCCCAAAAAACAGTTGAATATTAAATAAATATAGTAAATCAACATTAAATAATTGTGTGAAATAACACACAAATTTCTTGTTATATTTGGAATAAAAATTCAAAAAATAAATAATTACTTATTACTATAAATAACTCTGCCATGTCGCTCTTGACTTCTACGAAGAGATGCAAAAATCTGCCTCATCATCAGAACTCGAAAAATCAAACAAAATATTAAACAGTGAAGTCATCACCATTGGCAACGAGAGATTCAGATGCCCAAAAGCACTTTTTCAGCCATCATTCCTTGTTACGGAACCATCAAGTATCCACGAGACAACTTACAACTCAATCGTGAAGTGCGATGTCGACATCATAAAGAACTTGTACAGAAACATCGTTTTGTCTGGTGGAAAATCAATTCAAAAATCAATGACAGACAAGAGAAGGAGAAAGTTGCAAATGAAAAACCAATAAACATAATCAAGGCTGTTCATGCTTGGCTCAATATAATTATATTCATATTGGTGTTTATTTGGTTTAGTTTTAATATTATTATAATTATTGTTATAATCAATCATAATATATAATAAATTTACTATCAGTTATATTATTCAAATGTTTATTTATTATAGTTTATTTATAATTCTAAATACTATACAATTTATTATTCTTTTGTCAAGCAATATATAATGTATCCAAAACTGCCATTTTTCTCGACTTAAATTAATGTTTATTAGCGTTGTTTTACCATATAAGATAATTATTTTAATGTTATTGTTGTGTTAATACAATAACACATAAAATTAATAGTAAGTAGTGGGTTTTTATCGTAATATTATGTTGTTATTTGGTTCTCTAAGTATTTTTAGTTTGAGTGGAATCCATTTTTTTATTTCAACAATATTTTTGTTATGTTCTTATTTTATTTTGGTTTGAACCAATCTTATTGGTTATATCAAACCCACAATCTTGCATACGTTTTAAGTGTTTTTTATTTTGTTTTTAAAAAACTTGAATATATGATAATATTATTTAATCAAGTTTTATTAACACTGTTATTTTTTTATGAAAAAAGTTTATTTTCGTATTATTTTTATTACTAATATTAATTTGTTAAATTATCTATTTTATTGATTGAAGGACGAATCTTCAGGGTCCTCCTTTTTCAAAAAACCAGCCACCACGTTTCACCACATCAACAAAAAATGACACGTGTTAATAGAATGTAATTTTTAATTTTTACTTAAGACAATTAATTATTCCAGGACAACTTTTGCTTTTAGGTAAAAAAATTTCAACTTTTTTTAAAATTTTTTTACAATCAAAAACTACTTAATTATTATCAAACTATATTATTAAACTAAAATAACAACACAATTTTTTATTAAAAAATTATTTAATAATTATAATTTTAAAATAACAATAATTATACATAATTAATTAATTCCACATTCGAATTATTATTCATTTCTTGGTTTTTGATTTCTGTATTTGATTTTCTTTTTTGTTTAAATAAAAGTCCTTAACAAGAACTCGCTCTCTTAATTTTTCTTTGGTGATATTACATTGTGAGAACCTTTTCAATATGGAAAAACTCGACTCAACCATCGCCGTTGTTGGAGGAATGCTTAAGAGGAACGCCAAAAGATAATAAAGCCTCGAGTTCTTACTAACTATTGGAACATAATCCAAAAGATCCAAAGAAACGGAACTTGTCAAAACACCGTTTTTACTTTTTGTTTCTTTTGTTTGTTGTATTTTTTCCCTGAAAGTTGAAATGTCAGAATAATTTCGTAAATCAAGAATTTCGTTTTTGTAGTATTCAAATATATCAGGTACTTGTAACTTACCAGTTATAAACGCATCAAAGTTGTTTGCGAAGTCACAGTAGTAATTCAATTGTTGATTATTATTTTCGGTGTTTTGTGTTTGATGTTTAATAAACTCGGCACTGCTTCCTTTAAAAACAGGAGCGATTGCCACAGAAGAAAATCTTACGAGAAGTGACGATTTATAACAATCCAACAACTCCAACATTCCATCAATTGGATATGTTTCATCGTCAAACTCCTTCATGTGCGGGAAATGTTCGTAAGACCTGTTAAACACATCGCTGATCATTTTCTTGACGTCGTTGGTAAACATTTGAATCTTTTTAAAACTTCTAAAAATAATAGACTTTTTTTCCTGCAATTCCTTGTTGAGAAGTTGAAGTCTTCCGAGAGTATCGACGATAAAACAAATATTCATCTTTGTTGTCGTATCTCGAAATATATTTTTAAGTTCTTCAACCGTGTAATTTCCGTAAATATAATCTTGAATTTCAAAATTAATCAAATGTGTTTTGAAGTTTTCATAAATTTTTTAAAGTCCATTTAAATGTATTTTCTAAAGATAAAAATCTAGTCTTACAATATGTTGGTGGAATAGTATTGTATTTAACATAAAATTCACCACCCTCTCTTAAGAATTCACAAATATCGGAAATTATTTCTACACAATCACCCATACCTTTAACACCAAGACATTCTTCTGTGCACAAATTTAGTCGATGACAAAAACACCATACCGGAAACAAGGGACACTTTCATCCTCCTTCTTCCTTGTATTCATTCACCATTCGTATGGCCATTCCTTTGTTAACACCCATCACATTAGCACCACCATCTCCAACAAATGCAGATATTTTATTGTGATCAACATTGTAATCATCCACTATTTTTCTCATGGTGCTTGCCAATAAATGACAGTCGCATTTCCATACTGTACTTTCATTTCTAGTTGCCCTACACTGACGTTTAAATC